TTTCGACGTTAGATTTGTTAATAGTTGTCGGCTGTTTTTTGTTTTTTGATTAAGTTGACGTTCCATAGCACGACGATGTTTCTCTGTTTTTATTTTTTTGTTTAAATAGGAAATATGCATATAAAAGTTCTAAAACCTAAAATATGCTAATTCGTTCAAAAAATAACGAAATATGCAAAATTATGCAGCAAAAATTTTTGTATTTGAAATATACGTACAATGGATCAAATTTGTATCGAACCGGAAGTTAATAAATACGTACGTTCTAAACAAATATGCAAATGCCTAAAGTTCCGAGCCTTGGTTATTAACGATCTCGCGCTCGCCCGCCACCCGCCGACACTCTGCCCATACCCGCTGCTAAATATTACCCGTACAGCAAAACATTATCGCGTGTAATTATTACAAAAAACGAAACGTTTATTGTGGCAACGTCGACGGTCTGCGCGTTCCCGCGAGCCAACGTTTCCCCGTCCGCCTGTTCGGCGACCGCCGGCCAGCGCGCGTTGCGTTCGCCTCGGAATGTCAGCGGCCGCCGGCACGGAAGCTGTTGCGTTTTCGCGCGCGTTACCGTGCCCGTCGTACAACCCGAACCATCCCGCGCCATACCCGTACACCCTCACGACGACGGACCCGCTCGCACCCGTTTATCGTAGTGGCCACCTCTCCCCCCGCCCGTCTATCCGCCGTCGCTGTTTATCCGTGCGAATTTATTTCGCGGTCGCCCGCGCGCTCGCGTTACCCCGCATACCCATGCCATATTGCCTGTACAATAAAATATTTCACAACCATCATTGCCTTTTGACGTGGATTTTCTTCAACGATAATATAACGTGTAATAATATAATAATAAAATAATAGCGGAAACGCACCGGGTAATACTGTATAACAATCGAAAGTTAACAATCGACCGTTTCGATCGTTACTTACTTTTGATAATCGATTGCTATTATTTACCCGTGACCACAACGACGGAACGAACGATCGTCAGCAGTGATTTTACTACACACCAGTGTCCAAGTGCCGAACAGTTTTCTCTCGCGATCGCCGGTTTCTCTAAGTCTTAATAATTTCCATTGCAAATAAACTTGTTATTTTAATTTGTTCATTTTTATATCCGATTAAAAATGTATACGTTCGAGTGTACCTCCGTCGGTTGTGAAAAAGTTTTTTCTGCTAAACGTAATATGACCCGCCGCGTTAAATCGTACGACAATGTAAAAATTCAATGCGCTCTGTGTCCTAAATCGTTTCCGCGTATAGACAACCACGGTACTCGTGTTAAAATTATCCATTTCGGAGGAATGGTTGCATTGCCAACTATTTTTCCCGACATGCAAACAGGACCGCCAAACGCCGTCGCTGAACCATGGACTTCGACAGTGCCATGGACTACCGACGAGGAAAATGACGAGCTGTTTATGATAATCGATATGGTTATTTACGACGGTAAGATTTCTCTTATTATGGCCCACCACATAGCGAGGGAGTTGGTTTTTTATTTATTTTTAATGTTCCCCTTAGATAGGAAACGTGTGTTCAAAGAAGAAACCGCCGCTGAAATGAAGAAAGCCAGGATAGAGTTAGCGAAAACACCGGGATTTCCAGAGGTAGATTCGTCATTTTCCCGCGAAAAATCGTATGGTACTATGCCAGAAATTTCAATAACGTTCAAAATTACAAAAAATTTCTCAAATCGTTAAAACCCGCACTAATCGAAATCCTCACAAAAATTGTTCGAGAAAAAAGAAACATTTTATACTAACGTGATCACAGAATATATATCACACAGAATGTAATGAAAAATATTATTTGGAAAAATAATAATTTCTTACAATATATTCTCATAAGATAATAAAATAATAGAAAGAATAAAGATAAAGAAAATAATAATCATAGGTATGTGATAACGATGTATGTGATAACAGTATGTATATGATAATGTCTCGAAAAAATATTTAAACAATTCGGGTGGCCATGTATTATGTATAGCACCTGGCATAGGTTAATTAAGAACGTAGTATTAGGGTCGCAGATAAGAACTTTGGTAATGATATCGTTGATAATAGATAAGAACCGATAATATTGTTATGATATGCTATTTAAGCTATCATATATAATGTAAATAAAATGTAATGTTAATAAAATGTAATGTAAATAAAATGTAATGTAAATAAAATGTAATGTAAATAAAATGATATGTAAATAAAATGTAATGTAATGTAAGAGATAAATCAGACAATTAATAACAGGAACGAAAATTAAGCATATAAATTCAATTCCATATTTTCTATCAAATAATATTTATCTTAATGCGATATTTACTTATTGTAATGATATGCTATTTAAGCTATCATATATAGTTAAAATAAAATGTAAAATAATTATAATAATTGATAGCCATTAAGTATTAGATTAAGTTGTTAGTATTAACTAGATTAAGACAACACATTTACACACGCATACACACATAGGTCTCCAGTTATAAGGAGGCCGGTCACTTCTAATCAGCCCAGTGCGTGTATTGTTCCCGTTCCTTTTGGACAGATGATCACAAGCGAGTATAAAGACTGCGCAGAGATTCTTACAAAGGCACGGGAACCTAGAACAGTGTTGTATGATTATAAATTAATAAAAAAAAAACAATTAGTTCATTGAAATCTTTTTATTTACTTCGGTCACCTTTATCAGATTCAACAGATCAATTGCCGCCTGAAGGAGAAATGTAATTCAATTTATAATTAACTTAAACATGTGAATCAATTTTATATAGTTAGGCTGACCATATTTCTGATTACAACAATATATAACAGCTGATAAGAACGTGGCTGTGGTCTATATGGTCGATGAAGAGGTGGACAATTCAGGCGGCCATGTATTAGGTATAGCACCTGGGCTCTTTGCTCCTGCGCCTGGGAACCTGGCACCTGGCACCTGGGGTAGAACTCACTAATAATGTAAAATATGTTTTTCTTAAGAAAAATTATAAAATACTTAAAGAATATGAACACATAGATCAAATGATAAGGAAAAAGTTAAAGATGAGAACGTTCAAAATAAATTTGTATTAAAACTAAAAACGTTGAAGAATTGCTGAATTCTGCTCAATACATTTCCTTCTGTCTTAGTCACTTTGAATTCCAATCTTAATAAAAATATTTTCAAACAATGAACCCCTTTGGCCATCCATTTCACTAGATGGTATGTACCTGGCTGTCAGATTCTTGAACTTTGTCAAGAAGAAACTATTTTTCAAACGTATCGAATATGGCAGATGACATTTCTGAATAAAAACATTTAATGTTTATCGATGTATTCTAATCAATGATCTCCAAACTATTTAAACGTTCGGGATAAATTCAAAATTTATATACAAAAAGACACGAGCCAGCGGTTTATTATTAGTATTATTTTATAGAATCGAAACTATAATAAATCATTGCATGTGTAAAAAAATACGAGGAGCCAAGACTAAAATTGAAACATTTCCACGAGTTTTTTTTCGCGGAGCGTCAAACTGAGAAATTTGAAAAATTACTTCTCTTAAGTACCATCTGTGTTCAATTACTTATCTAAAAAGTTGCCAGATGGAAAACTTTTTGAGAATTTCTATACTAACCTAAACAAAGTGTTTTTCGAGAGAAAAAATACCATTGTAAAACTGTATATATATAAAGCTCTCTCATTCGGCCCAGAATCTAAAATCCTTTAAGTATTAAAACTAGTTAAGAAATAACGTAATAAGTGTTGAGCATAAAAACTTAACAGGCAATTCAAAACCTTAAATGTAAAAAAAATCAAAACTTCTATAATAAGTAGTTTTCACGGTTTCCGCACTTATTTTTATCAAGAACTTTGAAATAACCAAGTAAAATAAAGGAGGAATATTCAAATTATAATTCGATGTATAAACAATGTACTTGCTCAATTATAATAATAAATATAGTAGTTAATTATGTGTTATTTATAATTAATTGATACATTTTTCATTGTGTTGTTTTTTTTTTTTTTTTTTTTTTTTTTTTTTTTTTGTGAAGGGAAATACACGTAGCTATAACTGGTGATGTTACATAAATCATTTTTGGACAATCCAAAAATCCAGAATTCAGATTTTGTACAACAAAATCGTGACTTCTGACTTCAATATACGATCACTTCAATTTTAGATTTAAAAACAAATAATTATGATTAGTTATAAAATTGTTTAAAAAATACAAAAAAAATTCGAAATCAAAGTTTCATAGTCCAAAATTATACGGTTATAAACAAAATTTTGGATTTCGGATTCTGAATTTCTATCAATCTTCGGCAAATTGATGTTTTTCCTACCATTATACGAAAACCAGACCAAAAGTATCGAGATTCGGGGATTGACGGATTTGAATTTTGAAAACAGATTCAATTTCGTAGTCTACATAGTTTTTCGGGTTTTAATCGAGGTTATTTTTGTGACAATCGTAAATCATCACGAATTAGTTGTACAAATAACATAAATATAATCCATATTATTATAGAGATGAAAAACTCCAAAAATAAAATTAATCCGAAATTCTCGATTTTCTTGTCGGTTTAAAAATAACTAAAAAATAATTAAAAATAATTAAATGAATAAATTGTTTTTAACATGTTCGTAAAAGAATATTAGGCGTCTAGTGATTTTAGTACAGAATTAATTACCTAATGTAATATTATCAAACATAAACGACACGACGCGCGCGTTTTTCTAGTTTATTTTTTATGATATTTGTATGGACACATTTTTTTTTTTTTTTACGTTTAATAGTATTAATTTAAAATCGCATCCACGTATACTCCATTTTATATGAGTATTTCAACTTTTTATTATTATTTTTTACATACACACAATATGCCGTTCATTATAAGGTCAAATCCGTTCACCAGTTTTGAGTTTCGTAGGATTATTATTATTTTTTAACGTTCAAAAAAACCGTACGAGGTTTCGCTTCACTACTATATTTTTTATATATATACTCTTTATTACGCTATCCTTTTCATGTAAAACGTTTTTTTTTTGTCCTCTCGTACCTCGGGGGAGATCAAAATCACCACGGGCGGTTAATGGTTTCAGCGAAATATGTAATATTATAATATCGAGGTCACCAGCCCTTGAGATATTTTATACGTATAATACGGGACTATTATACGCATTGGAGACAAGTAAGGTAAAAAAAAAACCGAGAATTTAAAAAAAAAAATCTCGCGAAGCCAATAAACTGCAACACTGCTGCAACAACAGCAATCAATATATAGCGTGTAGTTTTTTTTAATGCATTGCTTTACACTGCAGTATATATAGTGTTTGCCGGTTCGTATAATGCTTTTTAAAAGTGAACAATATATGTATATATAGGTAGGTACCTACAATAATAGATGATAAAATATAGGTGAGTATTAAAAAAAAAAAAAAAACGAGCTTAAATACAAAAAAAAAAATAATGTATATATATATATAGTAGGTATCGCATCGTCATACAATATACACTTAATAAAATGAAACTTTTCCCCCCTAACGAACAGCTATAACGGATATTTTTGATGACAATAATAATAATAACAATAATAAAACGGTTCAAAATTAAAGAGTAAATTCAAAATGGCATTTTTATCACGCCTCGTTTTTTATTTAGTCGTTTTAGTTTTTACTCGTATTGACGTAGATTATTTGAAGCCAGGGTTGCAAATATTTTTATATTTATTTATAATGGTTTAACGGGCTTTTGAGCTCTTTGGTTAGGCGATGATTAAATACAACAATTGAAAACGCTTACAAGAACGGACAACGCGACTTAATTATGATGACATTAAACATAAACTTTACCTAGTACAAAAGTACTACAGAATACTAAAACTTTTTTAAGAGTATTATAAGTATCGTATAATATTTCAATAATACTCCTTAACGCCAATATTATAATATTTTACTTAAATTTGTGACGATTAGAATCAAAAAAAAATCTATTCATGTGGATATTTTATTATTAGGTTGCATAAAGCGCGTGGGAAAAAAAAATAATTCGCTCCAAAACTCGTACGAGAGTGGGGAAAACAAATCATTGGTTCAGAAAAAGTTTACGGGGAACCTTGATTCCTAATAAAGCCCGGTAAATGTGGACAATCAATGAAAACATTCAATATAATATCACGAACAAATAAAATTTCAAAAAGTTGTTTTTATAGGTCTATCGAATCCAAACCAAATGATAACTGAATGCTTTAACGTGAATCACTATAGATAAATGTGTATTAGTGATATAAGTTATTCTTTTTGAAAATGCGTACATTGGACTAATTCAAGATCTTTTGTTATGCAAATGAGTTCTGAGACCAAATTATGAACCGAAAGTTTAAAGTAGAACGCACGAGCGAACAATGTAAGGTTTTCAAGCTTGAAATCTGTCGAAAACTATGAATATTTCTATATTAAACAAAACCTAGCATTATATTGACAAATAATTTTTCTATGCAACAAATATAGCCGCTCTTCAGAACTTTTAGTACTGACATCTATTGAACAATAGGTCGATTACAGTTGCATCGCATAGTTAAAACAATTCTGAAAAACGACGTGCCATTAGGTTCACCCGTTATCTGAGTGTTGGGCCACTTTCGCGCACAGCGTCTCGTTTATGTAGTACCATGGCTGAGTATTGACTATTATAGGTGTATACTTTGTTATAGGAGTTGGAAATATTCAAATGTAACATTAGACCGAAAGACGTGGGCATATTAATCCCAGGCACGGATCCATTAAGGGCGACTATGGGGATTCTCCTGGTCCTTCCATTAGCCGTACTTAAAAAATGTATACAACGTTCTTATAGATTACGTGTTTACGTATAAAGGATTCGTTTTTTTCGACAACAACAAAACCAACGTTTTCAAAATACTATATTCTCTTATCGTTACACGCGAATAGCATCGGCTAATGCCCGTGGTAACCGGTTGACGAGTCCCGTAACGATTAACGTCCCCGAGTAGGTAAACCGACTTTCTAGACAAAAAAAAAATCGTAAACGAGTATTCCGCGAACGGAAGACTGCGGTCCGACGACGAAATAAATATTGTTCGAACCGTCCGAATTTCAATGTGCGTAATTTAAACCGTAATTAATACGCCGCGGCGGTTTGTCCGTTTAGACACACACTCGTCACACTCCTCCCCCCCCCCCCTTCTCCCCGGCAATCGCCGTGGACGCTTGTATAAACCTATACGCGCGTTAAATCGCAAAACGGAGGCCAATAATAATAATAATAATAATAAAAATAACAATAACAATAATAATTTAATTGACCGTTGTGTAGAATATATTAATTTTTTTTTTTAAAACGCGTAAAAATTTATTATTATCGATGGGCGCGACGCGTTTAAAACGGGTTAACGGGCCGTTAAACGCGCGCAATAACCGCGCGGCAAATTCAACGAGTAAACCGTCGCGAGGTGTACTCGCTCGTTTCAGCATCATATAGACAGGTACAACGATCGATATCGTTTGTATAATTTAATCCGGACGATAATGGCGCGTAAAATTCTACGGCCGTAAGTACGGGGGAACCTATATATACGTACGCGTCTAGCAGCTATAAGATTATTATAGAATCGACGGTGAATTTTATCGTCGTCACTTCCGACCGAAAATTAAATTCTCCATTCATATACGACGCCGACAATAATGTTGTTGTTGTTATTATTATACGGCGATAAACACTATTGTTATTTGTTATTATCCCGTAGGTATAACGGGATTACACTACGCGTCTCTTGCACGGTTGTAATTCGTTATTCGACGTGCGTTTAAAGAGAAAAAAAAAGAAAAGAAAAAACGACCGCGCGTTATTTAGTTACACGCGGAAACGGATTAATTATTAACGCGGCGCTATCGACCGCCCGCGGTTTACCGAACGATAATGATAATACGTTACATTATCTCCGTGGTATTTATTAACAACGACGATAATAATAATAACAGAGATAAAAATATTGTCGATGCCGCCGTTGGTTTTCTCGCGGTTCGCGGTTTATCGCGGCCATAGTCCGCCGTATTGTTTTTCGGATAACGCGTATTAGCGTTTTTGACGACCGGCACGCGCCGCAAAAAGGGTTTGCGAAAATGACCGGAAGAGGGTCGTTTTTCGAATTTAATTAAAAAACTATCGCATTTGCATAAAAATGTACCGGACCTGTATTATACGCGGAACATACAATTATCTATGTAAAAAAAAAAAATATCTTGACAAAGTTTATCGTAAATTTAAAAAAATAAAAAACGCGTTTTGAATTAAATTTGAAAATATTTCATTAATAGTGGGTCGTATAAAGATCAACTTTACTAACGAGCTTGAACCTAATAGCGTGTTAAAACAAAATCGAACAGCATAAAGGATTTGTTTTATTGATAATTGCGGTTACCAAATGAATTATACGTCATTTTATTTGATTAAAATGATTACTGATTACATTATCAAGCGTCTATTAATAAATAAATATTAGGAAAAAATATTCCAACCACAATTGGTATAATAATATTTGTTTGGTCTTTGATAATGGCTCCAAAAAGGGTAAGGCAGAAAAACTGTACTGAACGAGAAAAAGCGACAATAACGGAATTGATAATTTCACATGAGGACATGATTGGAAATATTTAGGTATTTGTTTGACAGGTTAACTTAATTATAAATTACAATATGTTAAGCAAGGTAAATATTAATATACATTTTAGACTGATTTTGTTAATGGAAAAAAAAACCAGTCTTGAAAGGAAATAAACAAATGAGCTCGGTTTATTGTTTATAAGTTTATTGTTCAATATAATTCAAAATATATCGGTGAAGAAAGAAAAAAGAACAATTTTTTTTAACATTAAAATTGTTAAATATGCATAAAATGCGTATAAATATGCGAAAATCAATGGAAATCGATGAATACGCACCTTTTCTCTAAAATTAACGAAATGTGCAAATTATGCATTTTACACGTACGATTTTTAAAATCTCCATTGTATAAAAAAATTTCTAGCTTGGTTCGCTAAAAATTCAGTGCATACAGAAAAAATACGGGACTCCTATAACTTCTAAGCCCTAGTAATGATCCAGAAACTGGAAACAGAATAGTTTTAGAAAGAAGTTATAATTCTTATCAGCGTATATTAACGAATCTGTAATGGTTACAGACGCACAATTGTACTTGTAAATACAGGTTCAGTATTATAGCCGATAGCCAGTAGCCAATAGAAATCACAGACCCCTAAACGAGCGTCAAGCAACACTCAATTTATTTTAACGGGTATAGTTGGTTAAAAAGGCTTTGTAAATCGCTAATGAACATTTGTGCAACTCAGTCGAAGTGTTTAATCGTTTTTTTTTTTTTTTCGCAAAAATTATAAATCTACGAGAAACTTTGTTAATGCGTTTCGTACGGGTAAAAATTATCGTTTATGTTTAAGGTCCGGATACGTTTCTATACGCCGACGGTACGGATTAAATTCGAAAAACGGACCAACTACACTGTTCGGTTATTTGTCAACGTTTTGGTGGCGCGTGAACGGTGTCGTGCGAATATCATCGACAGATATTTCTTTAAAATTATTCTTTCGTATTGGCGGTTAAGACGGGAACGGGAACGGGAGACGGGGTGTTGTGCACGATCGAAATTATCGGAATTTTTTTTCTCCGTCCGCGAAATAAGCACCGTTCTACACACATTGTGTTTCTGCACGCGTGGCACCGTTTGTCGGTTAGGACCGCGTAGGTATGTTACGCGCACGCTGTGTATTATATATTATAATCACTCGTTAATTATTTAAAACGCCACGAATCCTCGTGACGGACTTGCCGCGACGAGGAGAGTGACGGGTTGTGGGAACGATGGGAGGAGAGGAGCGGAGGTGGGGTGGGGTGGAGACGCAGCTGTGTAATCCGCGACGGATTTGCGGACGGCGCGACTGCGGGGGACAACGACTCAGACGGGGCCCGCACGCGTAGTTGTTTACCGAGAGGGACCGAAAATAATATTATAAAGACTCCGGCGTCGCGCGCATAATAAATCACGTATAATACACAATGTCCTAACGCGTTCGCGTCGCGTATTCTTGGTATCTGTCCGGTATGTAACGCGCGCGCCGCCGTAACCGCCGGGAAAATCGATGAGATCCGCGGGGAAACGCGGGTTTTCGCGCGGTTCGAACGGTAAAACGAAAATATCCGTCAACCGCCCGGAGGTCCGGACCTCCCTTCGGACCGCACACTCGGTTTTTTTTTTAAAGGCCATCGAGGCCCATTACCGCAACACAAACTTGCTTCCATCTGTCTCTGTCCTTGGGCTATTGTTTCTCCATCTCGTATTCCAATCTCTGCTAAATTCTTCTCCACCTTGTCAATCCACCTTCGTTTCGGCCTGCCAAGTGGTCTTTTTCCCTGGGGTCACCATTTTAAAACCTCTTTCATAAGACCGTTTGACCTCCGTAAATAACCGGCCCATGCCATTCTCCTATTTTTTAATACTGCTACTATGTCTGGCTCTTCGTATAATTGTTGTATTTCTATGTTATTTCTTTTCTCATATTGTCGTGTCATGTTATTTATTTTTGGCCCAAATATTCTTCTTAATATTCTTCTTTCGAGCATTGCTAATTTGTCTCCGTCTCCTTTAGTCGTTGGCCATGTTTCACACGCATATAAAAGCACTGGTCTGATAATTACCTTGTACATTATAATTTTTGATTTGAGTGATACCTGTTTTGATTTTAGTATACTCGTTACTCCGTAATAGCATTTATTTGCTGCAGTTAGTTTTATTTTAAAATTTTGCACTCTTTCAAATTTATAATTCTCAACTTCTAAATTTTCCTCGTGATTTTCTCGCCTAGATATTACCATATATTTGGTTTTTCCTTCGTTTATTTTGTAATCCAATGTCTTTGCTGTTTATTATTAGTTGTTTGGTTCCTGCTTTGACTTCTTGACTGTCTGATCCCAATGTGATAATATCATCTGCGTACGCTAGTACTCCGCATTGTCTTCTGTTCTCTTCCAAGTTCACCCCATAATATTATGTTATAAAACATAATAATATTATTATTGTCTTAAACTCGGAAAACGGATTATAACGCGCTAGCATCCGACTTGCCGCGCACAGAGCTCTGTCGGTCGCGGTTAATGAAATTGTAGACGGCGTATTGGCGACGGGAAAAAAGAAGATTTTCGATATGGATATCGCACAGTATAGTATTTCAAGTGGTCCCGGCGTGACCCGTTCTATTTTTATTTCCGTCGACGGGTTGACGGAAATCGAAAATGTCACCGACAAAATGTGTTTCGACCAACTCATTCCGTCTATATGCATGGGACTTTTCGCACGGGTTGCCGTTTGAAAACAGCCGCGGTGGGTTTGCGTCCGGAAACAAGAGCGACAAAATATAACGTGTAAACGCAAAACGATATCGCGGCGCCGAAATTGTTTCTGAAAATTATTCTACAAAACGAATTCCGGAAAAAAAAAAAAAAAAACGAACGAACGGATAACGAGCGCCTTACACGGCGGATCGATCGCCCTGTATACCGTCTCTACGGCGTAACTCGAAAACCGCGCGCGGCAGTTTTCGTCGAATTCCCGTGCCGCGTCGCGCAAACGAATTATCGCCGGTCGTAAAACGCTCGCCGGACGGCCGAACGCTACCGGCCCGCACGCGTTCATATAAACGCGTGTAACGCAACGTAATTTAGATGTATCGTACGATATTACGCGCGCGTGTGCGCCGTGTTACATTTATTTATATATATAAAAAATACGGCGCTATAAATCGCGGTTATTCGGCGCGGCTTACGCGGCCGTCCGCTGTTTACATCCGCCGCGCGAACGCGACAATTTCAAAACGGATTTATACGTTTTCCGTGCGAAACGTCGCGCGCAACGGCCACCGCCGCGGCGGACGATAACGCGCGCCGTGCCCGCGTCGCGATCGCGGTCCGAACGGGACCGTGCGATTAGACAGCGGTGTTTTTGCCGTTGTCAACGTCGGTGGTCTCGTTTAAAATCAATTTCGACCGTTCGTTTCGGCACTGAAAATAGCTTTTGTGACGGAGTTTATCAAGCGGTTTTCTTTTCGTTTTTTATTTTCGCTGATTTTAAGCGCTACAAGTCCCGAACTCTGTAACATCACATTATAACACGTGTGAACCCGAGAAATATGCGTTAATGTTCTTACGTTGCAGAAATATCCCCTTTAACGTACGCGCGAAAAAATCGATTTTATTTTTCAAACCAATAAAAAATACAACCAACATTATAAAGCGTTAAAAAAAACCGTTCATACGCAATGAAAAATCGCGAAATACAGAAATACGCAGTACACGTCAAAAGAATAGTGAAATATGCATAATAAAACATTGTGTTTCAGTTCTGTTGACTACAACTGAAACTGTTGCAACTTATCTAGTCACTTACTACTACGCGCACGCGCGTGTTATTTCACCGTATCGAATCGAATCGAAAGTCGAAAGGGACGACGGCTTTTCGTTTGTTCGGCGCGCGGTTCACGGCGTGGTCTCTACGACGAAATTATGCGAGGCGTCTAGAACACAACGGGTACGGGTGACGTTTTCAAAATAAACCGAACAAAACCGAAAGAGTATTCGAACGAAAATGCCGTGATAAATCAGAAGTGAATAGGTTCGCGCGCTCGTCCGCAACAGCTGCTAAAGCACATTCATTTACAGTCGAGTGTCTGAAATTCGTTTCCCCCCCCCCCATTCGAATTCGGAAACATCGACGGTATACTAATGTACTATACACACTACGGTAATTATTATATTAAATACGAATAACTGTTTGCACTCGATTTTCTCGAAATAAATAACGCGTTCCGGGCGCTTCGCGTTCTAAACGCGGTAGGGTCGCGCGGCGGAAACATGCCCCGGCGAAACGGAGCGGGAGTCTCGCGGGTTCCCCGGTCTCCGGCCCGTGACCGCGGCCCGGGTATTGTTGCGCGTAACAACGGAACGATAAATCGTTTCGTTACCGTCGCAGTGCCGGCGGTCGGCGCATCAAAACTGCACGATCGGACCGCGATAACGACGGCGCGGAACACGTTCGGTTTCGTTTCGGCCGAACTCGTAATCACTTCTGGGCGCCCCGCGGCCGACACGAAACCCCGCGCCCGAATATGATCGCGCCGCGCCCCGCGCCGAGTTCTGCCGAGCGCACAAATCCCGCGTACATTTTTCGCCCGACCGGATTCGTCCGGGTCCTCTCGCCCTCGCATCTATCTGCGTGTCCTGCTCTCGAGACGGGCTCTCGAAATTGATTTGGAAAAAAAACACCGGGCGTTTTCCTCGTTAGACCCGCGCTGAAAATCCGACGTATATGGGCTCTCGGCACAACCGACGGACGACCGACCGTGCGCCCGCTCTTCGCGTACGCTTTTTTTTTGAGACCGACGAGCGTCCTCGGCACACGCGTTCGGCATACGCTCTACCCTTGAGAAAACCTCGCGGGAAAATATCATTCTGGTATTCTGAAGGATTCGTTTCAGAACCAATCGATTTCTCGAAACGAGAACATTCCACGGCCCGAATTCGAAGTGTTTTGTATAATAGGTATACGGATGAAAACGATAGGAGGGGGTGATATTTGACGGCCTCAAACGAAGAAACGAGAACGGATGGCACGAATCTCTGGGGGAAACGCTGCCAAATGTCGCGTTCGGTTTTCAGAGACGCCCCGATGAATAGTCGCTCCGAGACGGACGTTTGGCAGTCTAGTGGATATCGTTTATGAACATTAAGAATTTCCCAATGCTATTTTTATATTCTGTTTTTAGAATGATGTAAATTGGTTAAACAAATTACTTGTTGGTTTTTTATGATTATTTTTAAATTACCAGTTTCATCGCCCCGCCCCGTACGTGAGATCGTTACAACAATTATTATACTCCGTGTATACACAGAGTGATTATTAAGCATTCCCGTTCCATTTTTATTGTTAAATTTCGCATACGTTAAAATTGTGGTTTTTAAATTTTCGAGCGTAGTCAAAACCGTAGTCAAAGTTAAGCCGTGGCGACACCAAATTTATTTTTTTTTTTCAAACGAGAACCTGCGTGTCTCGGGGCAAATCGTAAATCAAACGGTTTTTCTGAAAATGTTTCTACGGAGTTGTTCTACATTAAAACACTTTAAGAATAACAAAAGCGCCTAAAATAACCGTCCGAAAAGCATCATTTGTGTGGTGGCACGGTGAGCGCCCCGTATATACTCAAACTTAAAAATGAAACATTTTGTCGACCGGTTGACGGAAATCGAAAACGTCCACGCCAGAATTCATACGAGCTAATATGTACCCCGTCTGTTTACGGGACGTATTAACGTAGGTTTTCGTTTGAAAAAAAAACGAAAACAAAAAGTCGGTACTCTTTAAACGCTGCGAAAAAAACCCGAGCGTGTTCGAAATTATCGGTTTTAATCACGCTTGGAAATTACAAAAAACGAAAACCACAATACACGCGAAGCGTAACCGTACAAACGGGACGAGCGCGCTTAGCGAATCGTCCCGCGTGCACATACCGGGCGTAAACTTGTACAATAATATTTATCGCGTCAGACTACACCGCGTGAAACGCTGTATTATAGTCGCTATTGTTATTATTATTATTATTATTATTATTATAATAATAACTAGAGGCATAATTATTCCATTAATCCCTATCGTCCTTGCTAACGACCGTCCGGTCGCCCGTCCTCGGACGCGGTGAAAAGTTTGCGGGCGCATCGCGGTTACGGTTAGAGCCGCGCTCGCACGCCGTGAACCGGCCGCGGTTACCGCGGTCGCGGCGCGCGATATTGTGCTATTGTTATTATTACGGTAGGCGCGATGATAACAACAATAATAATAATAATAATAATAATAATAGCAATAACGCGACTGTACGCGCGGTACTTTTTACGGGGTATCATGTCGCGTCAACCGAAAACGCGGCCGACCCGTGCTCACCCAGTTCTCACCCAAGAGCACCGGGATCAGAAGACGCGCCTTCGCAAACGCCGGCGCCGGTTCGCAGTCGACGCGTTGAAATGTCGGGGGGGAGGGGCAGCGTGAAGTTTCCGTCCCCCCCCCCGACGGAAAACGTCGAAACGCGTCGAAAGTATCGGGTTTTCGAATATTGAGTTGTAAATAATACGTTGTACTACAGTGCCAAACGCTATAAAATCGCGGGGGTTTTCACTTCTAAATTCCGAAAAATACCGTATAACATTCTGAACGATCGAGTCCCCCGTCTGAGTGGGTCCCGTTAAAAAATCATCTCGTCGAACGCGCGATTTTCGAACGTCGCAATAAAATTTTGTACGGGGATTCGTATAGTGTAAGCTCATGCGAAAATCGTGCGAATGAAAGAACGTACGCGGAATCGCACCTGTTTGTGTCTCGTTTAAGCCGAAGCACGTCCGGTGTCATTAAAAGTCGGACGAAATTATTTTTACATTTTTAATTGAAAATTATTATTTTTTTTTTTTTTCTATAAACACAATTTACGACTTGGTAATATATTCCCTTGTAATCGCTCTCGTTAACTTTTGTTTTAATTACTATTTTATACACTCCACATCTGTTTTTAGTCTTATCGACCGGACGTTCATTTCGAATGATGTTCCCTTGTTTTCAATTTCAGTATTGTTGTTATCACTATGTTATGAAACACAAATCTGTTCGTAATCTGCTCTTTTCCGTTTTAACGGACCGATTTATTCTCTATTGTCAACGATTTTCATTAGTGTTATTACCATCGCTATAATACACCGAAATACATATTTCTAATATACAGTATCTAAATGCTTTTTTTCGTTATGATTTCGTAATTCTATATTTTTAACAAATTAAATATTTATAAAACAAAATACGCAAAATGTACTCTTAGTTGTATCTTATAATGTATTTTAAGATACTCTTAAGATACTTGTGTCTGTGTCTAGACACTAATTTAAATTGTATCTTATTACAGCGCTGGTTATTACGTTCTATTATAATTATAATACGTATGATATTGTTAATAATATATTATTATTATAATACTAAATGAATATAGAGTTTTTTCGGCCGATCCGTCTGATTTAGTGGTTCCTTTTTACTACATTGTTGTAATATTTTCGTTATTGAAGTACATTCGTATTATTGTTATAATAACCGTAATCAATGTTCAGTGTTGTTATGACCTACGGAAATAAATGTTTCGTGTTATCTATTGACGGGCGTTGATAGCGAATACCGTCTGTTTGGTGTGATGAATCGGTCGTTTTTATAATTTCATTGACTATCGGGGGGGAAAAAAAACGAAAGTAAGTACGCAATAGCGATTTCTGTACAATTTCGGTTTGTTTCGAATTAGTGAAAAATAATAGTCTAGAAACCCGAACTTGTGGACGTAGTGAATGTTTTCTCAAAACATTCTAACTATAATGCAAAATTGACCGGAAAATAACATTGATAAGAGTCGATACGTTTGGAAAGCGCATATTTAACGGGTATAAGGTACGGGTACCGAATTAAAACGAACGCGTTCGTGTATTTGGAAGATATAACGCGTATAATTAATTCAAAATGGCACCACCAGGTTAGGTCAACCGACGGATTTTTGTAGGGAAAAACCGTGCAAATATTTCAAAAACCACAGTGTAATAATATATTGTTTAGTTTGCGCCGTTCCGAAAGTTTTCAACAAAGTCTTTTATATTAATAAAACACCCAAACTTTAACGGAAATTTTGAATTGCAAATTTCGTAAATATATAAACTTGTAATGTCTAGCTAACTACGGATGGTATTTGCGGCGACTCGATATTATTATGGTAATCAAGTCCTCGGGACAATACGTATCTAATATATTATAATACACAGTGTAATATCCGGCGAACGACGTTTCTCCAAGTACCTAGTGTGTGTACAACTTTTTTTTTATATAAAAGATCAATTAATTGTATCATAAAACGTTATACTAAGTAATAAAACATTATTACATTTCAATTGTGTTTTTTTTTTTTTTATGTACATTATATTATAATATGTTTACAATTGTACATAGCAGAGCGCTGAACATTTTTTTGTACTCGAGGCGAAACAAAACAATAAGAACACGCAAACACGCTCACTTCAAACTTGGATTTTTATAAGTCTTACAAAATAATTTGTTTCACAGGGAAAATCTAATTAAACTAAATTGACTTCTTAATAATATTATCGGCTATAATTTTCGTACGTAAGCACATTAATAATGTAATTTTTTTCGGAGCATATTTTAGTGCATATATTTGGTTGTTTTTTTCAAACATGTCTGTACATTCGCGTGGTCACCGTTTATAGTGATTACACTCGTCCGAGAATATTTTGATTGCAATAATAAGCGGTGATTCGAAAAACAGGTATAAATAAACGGAAAAAAATTGTATATTAATTCGAAAAAGTCGATGATGTGCGCCTGTTTTTTGTTTTCGGTACGGAGACTGTCATGATCTGTTCCGAGTTGTTCAACATAGCAGAGGTAGTCTGGGCCCGTGTCGCGCTCTTCTACGGCTCTTCCAAGTGCGTATTAATCGCTTTGAGTACTTGACTCCTAGTAAGTGGTACTCGTTTCAAACATCAGTCGCTCATTACGGTTACGTTAGATTAGATTATAGGTTCGTAAACTAATAATCGTCAGGGTTTTCCTCCTTTTGTGTATTATTATTGTATAATTTCAAATTTCCGATCACTATAACCGAAAACCTGAACATAAAAAAGCGGCTGGAAAAGCACTGGTAACGGCTGTCCGTTCCTTTCCTGTGCATGTCTGATCACTATAGCCGGCGACAACTGTACAGTTGTTGCCGGCTTGCAGCACAGTGACGTGATTGAGAATGTTTTAAAGGGAGGAGGAAGATATTAAAATAAATCTTCATGGCAATCTCGCGAGAGGATAGCCCCGTACAACCCCCCCCCCGCCCTTACCGACATTTAATAACTCGTCGTCGGGGCTCGGACGTTGGCGTTTTTAAATGCGCAACGTCTTAATCTGCGAATATTTCAGCGCCTATTATGCCAATACGATTAAACATTTATAATTTTTTAGTTTCATAACCAAGTTTTGAAAATTTGCATTTGAACTTTCGATTCGTATAAAACTAGACCACCAACTCCGGGTGTGCTAAAATTACGAACACATCAAAGACCCATAGGGGTCCCCACAATCCCCTTTGCACCACTCTAACAATAGTCAACTGCACCTTTCATATACAATTTCGTACACAGAAATTCGCATACATCGTGACTATTTTAACGTTATTTTCCATACACGCGCGTATTGTCTGTAGGAAACCTATACATTCAGTTCTGTTCGTCAATTACGAAATTCGCGGATAAAATATTTAATCGTTACCGTGAAAAATCTGATTGAGTTTTTTTTGGGTGCCGATTTTAAACTTGGGAGGGGAGGGGGGCGCTGAAGACCTCCCTCCCTAGTTGCGCCTACGGGTCCGGCGTGTACAAGATTACCGTGACGCGTACAGGTGCCGCGACGAAAATAACGATAAGCAGAACGCAATAACGGCGACGTTTTCCGTATGCGTTTCACGGACCGACCCGTACGCGGTGACGCCGCGCCGGAGCCTTTGTGCGCTGTTTTTTTTATTATTATTTTTTTTTTCTCTCCGCGTTACGTGACTGTTCGCGGCCGCTGTTGCTCCGGCCGTAACGCGGTGCCTCCCCCGGCAACCGCGTATACCGCGGTCGCGGTACCGGTCGGCGCCCGCGATCTCACTATACCTGTATACCCGATAAAATGCCGATCGTCAAATAATGTATTATTTATTTGTACGCGGTATGCGCGTCCCGGCCCCGCGCGACCCCGTGCCTCACTCTGTCCCTCTACCGCGCTCCTCTATCGTTTCCTCTCCGGCGTTCTCATTAACATTTTTCATTCGGCGAAACGCCGCGCGCCGTACACGCGAAACCCGCGGCCGTCTGCGCGGCGCTCGTTCAAAGCTCGGATATTAAAATATTTCGCGAATCCTCTCCGCACAGCGTCACGCCGGAATCGCAGTCGTTCCGTACGCGTATTTATATACGCGTACGGGTCCCGTCCCGAGTTTTCCGCGGCGGCGGCGGAGGTATAATAATATATTATACAGGGTGTGCGGGTGTGCGGGGTGTACGTGTCGGAGATGCTGATTAAAAAATAAAAAAATAATGACGCCGAAACGTATAAAACGGGAACGTTTTCGCGAATTCGTCTCACGTACGCGGCGCGGCGGGGCGAGTGTGCGGGGTGGCGGGAGGGGGTCATTTCGCGGGCGTGTCGTCTCCCCGCGCGTGTATAAATACCGTAATTTCGAGTGTACGCGCGTGTTACGCGCGAAATATTGTTAGGGAATAAAAAAATTACCGCATATCGCACTGTCGCGAGGACATTTCGATTACGGTCTGTCGTTCTCGACGGGTGCACGCGCCGGAAACGTTCCTGTCGTCTCTGCGCGCGCGCGGAAACGGAAATTCGGACGGCGACCGTGCGAAATAGCCACGGCGCGCGTTCACGCCGGTTTTTCACGGTTCGATTCGAAAAATCCCGTTCGGCCGAAAAAGACCGGGTTTTTACTTTGCCCGTTGTTGTTATTCACGGCCGGATTGTTAACGCGTTCCGTAATCGTCTTACCGCCGACGATAAAACCGACGATTATTACACTGATAACTTACGTTTTTTTTTTTTTTTTTTTTCAATCAGTAAATATGTACCCGTGTTTAAAAATTCTAATTCTTATTTTTCATTTTTTTCCGCGAACGACTTTTTTACCGGAAATTTCGCTCGGATTTTCAAGTACAACGGTTTTTCCGAAAGAAAAGCTGACCGGGACGGTAATTTCGTGAGGTCGTTTTCCGATTTTCTCAAAAGTCTTCCCAATAAATGGGAAAGAACGGGAAAACTTATAGGAAAACCGTTAAAATTTATGTAACGTATTATTTTCAAACTGTAAATATTACGGCTTTTCAAAAAATTTAACCGAACTACTTTCAAAATCGCTTTCCGTTAGCAACGATTAATCGTCGCGTACAGATATACATTAAATTCCCCTCTACCTTCATGACTTTTCATCTACAATATAATAGCGACCTTTTTTTATTATTATTATTTTAGATCCTGAGCGGAGCGAGGATTGTATTGGTTTTACACTTTTACAATGATGTTAATTTATTTAGTTTTTTTACATCAACACTTTTTCTACCAAAAAGCTATTACTCCGATTATCAAGTATAGCACTTTTTCTGAATGGAAATGTTCTCTGGATGGTATTTCAAAAAGGTAATTTTTCGAAATTCCCATTAATATTCGAGATAATGAGGAGAACATGGTTCTTTAGGTTAAAAAAAAATTGAATGAATCTAAAATAAAATTGTCGTCGGGAACCGTTTTTATTTATTTTTTGTTATTATTAAATTTCTATTATTTTAATAATCTTTTTTAAACGATCATTGTCGTCGCGGAAACGCACATTGTTGAAAAAAGCAATACTATAGACCGAGCTGCATGCTAAATACATTTCGATTTCAAATAGATTTCAATAACATTAATTTAACTATTATTGATCTTTATACTAATTTCTTGATTCTGTGTACACAAGGCGACATGTATATCGACCGAACACCGCTCAAAACCACCGTTTTTTTTTCCCATTAGCACCGGTCTATCGTCGCTCACTGCACACACACACACACACACACACACATTAAAATCCCTTCCGTATCATACCTTCCCGACTTCCCGTCTACAACAGCGGCTGCACCCGCGCGCGACGAAGTACGTCGGTATTTTTTATTTATTTTTTTTTTTTCTATGAAAATCGTAAACCGCTCTATATAATATCATCGTTATAACAATAACGCTAGCGATAGAATCGATCGTCGTCGTGGCCGGGGGACGCCGCCGCCGCGGTATATATTAATTTTATCATTATCGCCGCGTCCCGGCTTAATACCCACCCACACGCGCGCATACCCTTTGCCCTTCCCCTCAAGACTCGTCTCGCCGTATACCGCAATTAAGGTTTTTTTCCCCTCCCCGCCGCCGCCGCCGTCACCGCCATCACCCGGCCTTATATTAATGCGTTATGTACCGCGTCTCGACCCCTCCTCATCGCGGTTCCGCGTATACTGTAAACACAGCCAGGTACCTGCGTGCGTATACCTACTCTCGTATTATACGACGAGTGAGTTTTTTTTTTTTTTTTTTTTTATTCGCGCACACATTTTTTCCACCTCGTTTTGCGCGCGCGCGCGTATACTTTCGTACCGCAGCGCCGCGACTATACGCGACACCTACGCGAACGCCACCGCTAATTGCCCGAGAGTGTCTTTTGTCTCACACCCTCGTTCGCCGCCGCCGCCGCCGCCGCCGCCGCCGCGTCAACATCAGTCCTCGCGCTGCCGTAATAATATCATAAGTGCGCGCGACGCCGCCGCCGCGACCGCAGCCCCCCCGCTTCTTCACTCGTCGCCCGGCGCGCCGCGGTCTCTTCCGTTTTACGGGGCTGCGGCCGCGGCGCGCGTTTATATTACGAGACGCCGTCGTCGTTGTCGCGAACCCGGCGAACCGCGCAAAACGGGCAGCGGGTCTCGGCACTGCGCACCGCCGCCGCACTATACACGCGACCCCACCGCCGCCGCCGCTAAAAACTACGTACGCTGCGTATACGCCTTCCCCCCTCCACTCCCCCCCCCACACTTAACCGTGCGCGCGGCGCCCGGGTTCTTTTGTGTAAAACACCCCATTCGTGTACGCGACGATGACACGAGACTTATCGGCGGCAAACCGACGACGATTACGCGTCGTAAAATAATACGCTGAGCGTCTCCTGCGCTCTCCTCGCCGCGCCTCTCCGCGCCGCTCCTACCCTCGCGGTAACGGTAACCCCGCCGAGTCGCAGCGGCGAATTTCTCGAAGCCCGCAGGCTTTCGTCCGGAAACGACGCGAACGACGTTACGTTTTACATTTTTTTTTTTTATTTTCAAAATTTACCCAAATAGTAAAACGACAATCCTCCGAGGGAATTTCGAATGACGAAACGTTCGTTAAATTTTTCGGAGACGAGTACGCGAAGACTTTACCGGCGGTTATTCGGCAATAAAACCTCCATTGAAAACACCCGAACGGATTATTTTCGTATTCTTTACAACACAATCGCCGTACAGGTTTCAATTCGACTGGGGGGCGGCGGTCGTCACGAAATACGGCTGCGCGAGATTAAGTTTCTCAATTCGTACGGGCGATAGCGCAACGTTTAGCTGGGTAGTAGACCGCGTAGCAGAGCTGAAACTCGGCGGTTCGTCACCGTTATTGATAAATAACGAAACGCCGCGTGAATCGAGGGCGGTACGCGAATGCCGAAGAGAAAGAGCGACCTGTGAACATCGGTTGAGCGTTGCAATGCGGTATTGCAAAACGCGGTCATGGAGACCAGTCCGCGGATAAAGGAAAACGCTAAAATTACGGTGCGCGAATATTTAGTATATAAAATAACGTTTTAAAACCGAAATCGTTGTTGGCTTGATTAGACAGGCGGCGTATCCGTTAAAACGTCGAATGTCGGTGTTTTCAATGGCGGGCGCAACGACTAACGGTAGAACGCGTTTTTCGGGAATAGAGGACGTGCTGCGAACAGCCGTGCGGATCCGTACGAAATACAAGTACCGAATGGCAACGAAAAAAAAAAAAAAAACCCGTCATAGAGTCGATGGGAGGATGGGTGGGGGGAGGGAGGAGAGTGCCGGAGAAACGTGCGCGTCGTGTTGTACCGCCGTCGGCCCGCCCGACCGGATATTAGACTTCTGCGCGGTACCTAACCGCCTGTAACGTTGCACTGTCGACGGGAAAAAAAACCGGGGTACACAAGATCGCGTGCTCCCCATAGAGACGCGACGTTCGAATCGTCTTCGCGGGGGGCGCTCTGTATACGGTCTCCAGAGTCCGCGCCCGGAAACGCCGGGCCCCCCCCCCGCGGGCGTCTGTTCGCCGCAACGGTCACCGTGTGTAATTACCGCCACTGTCCCGCGCATTGTCCTGACGCGAAAATTCGAACATTTCGAACATTAGGTCGGACCGTGAGCTACGCGCACCCGTGTAAGTACTGTGCGGATTAATTCGTTACGCGCGGCGCTAATGGCCTCCTAAACACCCGACTTTTATATAATATTTCGCGATTACTACGAAAACGGGCGGCCGCACGGTCGTAATTTTTTTTTTTTTTTCCACTTTACATTCTTAAAGCGGCGATTTTCGCGGGTGTTTTTTCGTTTTGTTTTTGTTTTCGGTTTTTTTTTTTTTTGTTTCTGTCCGACGACGCGCGTAACTTTCAGACCGAAAATCTCGCTGCGACCGTCGTGCTCGCGGGCGGTTCCCGGCGCGCAAATGTCTTCTGTGCAGTGTCGATCGAGCCGATCAATTTTTTTTTTTTTTCTTTTTTTGTTACGTTTTATGTTTTTCGTTGTTATTTATTTATTACGTCGCGCCGCGTTTATGATCGAACACAAAAAGACCTACGGACATGCTTCGCACAGTGGGCGGGAGCCACTGTCGTGGGCGAGAAGTCGGCAAGATAGGATATAGCAGGGGAATTCAACGTATGTCTGTATCTACGCGACGATTAATCTTTGCTAACGAGAAACGATTCTGAGCGGAGTTCGGTTAAACGCATGTTTTAAAAGGCCGTAATGTTTACGTTTCGTACATTTTTCCGTGTTTTTCCCGGTCTTCCCCGTTTATTGGGAAAATCGAAAAATAACCTCTATAAAATACTACCCCGGTCGGATTTCATTTCAGGAAATATGCTGTACCGGAAAATCGGAGCAAAAATTTCCGGTAGAAAAATTGTCCACAGAAAAAAAAAAAAATAAACATCATTGTAAAACGGATTTATTCCTCGCTCCGTTCAAATCTAAAACGTTGGACCGATGAGTACCGTCGGTTTTTATCATTTCCGTGCAAATAATATTCCCGAATATTATTCATATAGTATATTTTTCCGATTTATGCAACCACCCCCCTCCCCTCCCGTAATATCGTTACACGGATAAACGCGCACGTACGCACGTGAACCCTGTACGTAAACAAAGATTTTCGTGTAATGGCGAAACACTGGCGCGCGGGAATTTTTCCGGCTCTCGACTCGTATTACAAAACGCGTTATCCGGCGTACAAAACGAAAATTTGTGTACGTACCTACGTATAGTTTCTTTTGACGCGCGTTCGCTAACTCGAGGCGGTGCAGCGTAATAAAACCTTCGATACGTTCGATGACGGGAGGGAGGGGGTTGATGGGGGGGNGGGGGGGGGGGGGGGGGGGGGGGGGGGGGGGGGGGAAACCCGTACGCGCGAGGAAACTCGAGTAAAATCAGAGTACAGGTATATGTACGTAACACGCGCGTGATGCAGTGCCGGCACCTACCCTCCTATATTGAATTGACGGGGGAAACATCAAAACGCGATTTTTTTACGCGCTATACACCTGCAGGTACTTGTGCGCGAATCTATACGTTTCCCGACAAACGGTTTTAAAACGTGTGGATACGCATGCTATACGCACGCAATCGCACACGCCGCCGCACGAAAATGTAAATCAAATTTATCATTTTGCAGTTTGTACGCCCGGGATTAAGTTGTATGTGCGTGCGGTATAAGTACACTGCGACAGCATCAAGAGCCCCGTGAACTTTGCGGGTACCCGTGCGTCTTAAAATTTAAAACCCGTGGCGGTGACGGAGAGGACGGTGGCCGCGGCGAACAATATTTCCCGAACTTTTACCGCGCGCTCGTTGAAAAATACGAATTCCGAACAATACGCGCGCCGTTTTACGCTCAAATATAATATTGCGTTTTATTTTATTGCGCGGTACACATGTATACAATATAAGCCGTTTGTGGAATACGGTTATTATTATTATTATTATTATTTTTTATTATTTTTTTTTTTTTTTTACACGGGGCTTTGTTGCGACAACAAATAAATAAATAAATAAATAAATAACGAAAAAAAAAAGGAGAAAACCGCAGCCAGTAAACTTCCGCTTGTATACGAGAACTAAGCTGCGGCGGCTTGCTACTCGAGCGCGAGACGTTCTCTCGGGCTGGCTGAGCCCGGCAAAGGGACACACGGACACGTTTTAGAGTCTGAGCGGAGCGAGGAACGTGTCGATTTTTAAAATGATGTTTATTTTTTTTTTTTATCTTTTTTTTATCTACCGGTAGATTTTTCTTCGATTTTCCCGGCTTTTTTTCATAAAAAATGGGAAAAGCCGGGTAAAAAACGTGCGAAAAACCCAGAAAAAGGGGAAAATATATAAAATGTATTGCATGTTCAATTTTATGTATTTTTTTCTGTTGATACAGTTAATAATAATTGTAGAGACTTGAAGTTGGGACAGAAAACTTATATTTGCCTTTTATAAACGCGGTAAAATTTTCAAAACATTGTAGCCATTGGTGAACTATTAATAGATATTTTTATTTTACGGTAATATGACGTATATATTGTTAACAAAGAAACACAATTAATCGAACTCCGCTCAGAATCGTTTTTCGTTAGCAATGGTTGATCGTAACGTGCACATTTACACGTTCGTGTTGAATCCAGATGGGGTTATAGCTCCCTGAAATTTTGTTTGCCCTCTCCTCTTTTAAATGTAGGTAAATTATTAACTAATTAAATAATAAAAGCAATTCGACTGGTCCTTAGTCTGAGGGTAGATGAGCAGAAAAAAAAGCCATTACTACAATTTTAGTAACATCCCCCCTGCCCCCCAGAAAAATTGTCCCGATTCAAAACTGGATACACCGCTCGCTACTTTCTTTTCCTCCCGATACGTCCGGTAGGTCGTGTCTGTTAGTCAAACGTTTACCGGGTTACACTTACGTCGACTATGTTCATTTTTGCCCGCGCGTTCATTCCGCAACGCCCTCACATTCCCCATTACACGGCGCTTATAATGAGCACGCTGGACATTTAATTTTCGATATTTTTACATAAAAACGTAGCCGAACCATATTCGACTTCGGTTTTTTATCCGCACGCGAGCGTTGTCCGCGGGGCTGGTGTATCTGTATTTGTGGCACTGTTTTTAAACTCGTTGGGAGGGTGGGGTCGATAACGAGTCCTGCGAAACGAACCGGCGGGGAAACCGTTTTATCGGCGTAATCTGCTTAAACGCGATGCTGCCGTAGATAATGGCGTAGAGCGCGCCAGACAGTCACTTAGGACAAAATATAATCATCTACGGATATTATTACTGCTGCGCAAACACGCTGCGGACTGTATTATTACCCGTGGGATTAAGTGCTCGGGAAGGTAACCCGTATGTGTGTGCGCGTATGCGTGCGCACACCATCCATGCCCACGTTGCAGCGATGGTTGTGATCTCGTTAAGATATTGTTATAACAACACAATATTAAAAACCCCGGGATAATAACTCGCGGTGCTTAACTTTCAAACGGTTTTTAACGAACGCGCCGTTTGCCGCCGTCGCTGTTATTGTCATAAAGCGCTCGTGTCCGCGGGAAAAAAAAAAAATGTTCGCGATTATTTATAGTAGAAAAAAAAAAAAAAAAAACACTTATTCCGCTGATGAACGTGTCGCTGCGGATTTAGGAGCGAAGTCGGAACGCCGGGATATCCGAGGTCGCACGCAGCGACACGGTTTATATCTGTAAAGTACGCGACGGCGAACCGCTGTTAACGAGAAAAACGATTCCGAGCGAAATGTCGTCGGTCGTATTTTGTCGCGCATATGAACGAGGCGACTCAGCGATCATCAACAGCGATTGTACGCGAAATTGTCAGTTTTTGTCCCGTGTGTTATAACGCGACAACTACAAGTAAAATACAAACGGTTACTTTCCCCGACTGGATCTAAAGTTCAACAAGAAAGTTTCTATTTACGGTTTTCAATAGAAGCACGATTTCTGAAATAAAAATTGTTTACAGACGCAATAACCAAAATTAATATATTGACATTTGTCGACAGGTTTTTTTTTATTTTTAGAAAAACTTTTCAAATAAAGCGCAACAATGCGTGAAATCCGCATGTCTTTTGAGGCGCGGTGTGTAAAATCCGGAGCGTTAGAACTCGCAGACTTTTACTATCTCGGAATCCGATACGCTAAACGTCGCTAAACACAGCACACGACTGTTGCGAAAACTACATTTTCACATAGAAACTCGGCTCAGGACAATGGTTCTCATTGGGACTATAGAACTCGTAGGAATTCTAAATTTCGTCAACTCGAACATAACAATATTATCTGCGTTTTGTTTGTTTTAACTTGTTCAGTGTTTCGTTCGGAAATTATGAAAAATCAATAGTTCAATAGTGTTATTTAAAACGAATGTATTCACGGTATCGCAAAAGTCCAACGCGACACATACATAACGCTGTTATCTTACCGTTGGGAAAAATTTGGGATTTCTGCGAGTGTACCGTAGCTCCGACGAGAATTATTCTCCCGAGACACGGATTAAACAAACATAATCTTTCAGGTTTGAAAAATTATTCGACTTCATATACATTTCCTTTTGTGTTTTGCGGGTGAAATTAACGTTCCGTTTAAACTCATCGCGTACTTAAACCGAATATAAAAAAAAAAAAAAAAAACGAACACATTTTCCTTACAAAACGTCGACGAGAAGAAATTCACGAATTCGCGTGTGTTTTCAAAATTGAAACCGGGCGAGTGGTAATGGTATGGTTGAATTAATATACAATGTGATTACATACATTATACCGGTCTGTATCGATCAAATATTTAATGATAAAAACAAAAATCGCAGCGTTAGAGAACCAATAATAATCGACTCTATTTATAATGTATTTTTCGTGATGAGAAAATTGATATTTGCGATATCCCTTTACGCAACCATTTCGTATCTGATGACAAAAATCCTGGTCTATGTACGCAACAGTGGCGGCGTGAACAGTTTTCATTCGTGAGACGAAAACAGTTTTAGATACCGCCCGTCCCCGAAAATTGACGGGTAAAATTCTCAATAATTATTAAACATTTTCAAAATGAATTTTTATTGCGAAAAACTGTCCGCGAAATGCATAAGGTACCTTAGATGGACAGATCTGGCGGCTCAACGAAATACGTGTGTATCTCATTATTGAAGGTCTCATAGGACCCTTGTCACGCCGCCACTTATGTGCAATAATACCTATTGTATATTTCGACCGCGGGCGGATTTTACTTCGGTTTATTGGTCTAAAACGTCGTAGGAAAACACACCTTTACGCGTCACACACACACCCCCCTCCCCCCCCGAACGGGGTTGTATCGGACAGTAGATCGGTGGAAACGCAGTGTCGGCGGCAAAGAGCGGTCGGATTAACAGGCCGAGAACGAAAATTTCGAATTCGGAAAACCGTCGTCGAACCCTTCGAATGTCCGTTTGTCGCGCGTACACGCGCCGAGATAACGCCGCCGGGGAGGGGGGCACGTCAAACGCGCGAATTCGAGGGACGTGTGTAACGTTCGCGACGCACGTGCGTTTGTTCCGGGGATAAGATTTATCGCGCGCGCGCCATTCGCGGGCACCATTATTTATTTGCGTATCGCAATTTTCTCCGCGCTCCGCGTATCCGTTATAGCTGGCTGTGCGTACGCCGTGTATATAATATAAATGCGCGTGTATGTTATATTGCCGGGCTCACTCGTATAATAATAATATGTCAACGGGGGGAAAAAAAAAAAAAAAACCGCGGGAGACTTTTGGCGAGATTTATAAATACGCGAGGACCGTTTTTTCGTTTTTTTGTTTTTTTTGTTTTTTTTAATTTTTCCGACCCCAAAAAGGTCGTTTTATCAGAGAGATATTATAATAGTAATCGTAATAATATTTTTCGTTTAATCTGCGTGTTTTCTCCGTGGTCTGCGCGCGGTCGTGTTCACGACGATCGATATTTTAGCAAACGCGACCGGCACGTTTGATAACGCGCGTTTCGGACGTCCGCGTCGGTTCGTTATTATATTAAGTAGACCTGTTAAAAAGTTTAAGAAAAAAAACAAAAAAAAACACTATACTGCTCATAATATATGGGTGTGCGACTAGTCGACTCGCTGGTCATTTCAATTTAAAATTGTACGCAACGATAAATCGCTGCTGACGAAATGCGATTCTGAGGGAAGTTCGGTTAAGCGCATTTTCGTTCGAAATGTACAATTTCAAACGTTTCTGCTCGGCCAAAACAATAGTGTCCACGCATAACCGAATACAAACTAAAACCTCGAACATTTCAAATGCCTACGAAGAAC